ACCTCTTCACCCGATAACCACATCGACGGTAGACCCGATCGCCACCCGAAGATCAGGTCTCAAACAACCGTTCCGTACGGTTCGTCAATAGGTGTTCACACCTACAACAAATCACTCCGCGCGCACACACCTCTACTCATAACCACACTCACCCGTCCAAATCTTTCACTCACTGGATCAGCTCCGGTGATAGACCTGAACTTTTCCTTCACAACAGCTATTCATCTCACCAATAGCTTTTGATTGAACCACTTTCGGGCAAAATCAAAACTATAGTTTTGGAGTAATCGCTTCCCGAAAGTCTATACATTGATATCCCGTAGACAAACTCTTTGTCCACGGGATCAGCTCCAGACAATATCCCCAACTTTTCCTTTCCGTCAGTTATTCTTCACATCATATTCTATCGATTAAACAACTTTAAACAAAATCGAAGCCATAGTTTTCGAGATATCGCTACTCGAAAGTCGAAACATACATAACTACATGCGCGCCCTCTCTGAACACCACTCATCAACACAAGAACCGTCACAAAAGAAATCAAATAAATAAATGTTTTAAACAATAATTGTTATTAAATACAGAATAATGAATATAAAATACAAAATGACCGCAAATTATTATTAACCATGTTTATTAATAAAAGAAACATTTATTTCAATAGACATTTAACCATCAAATTGTTTTTATTTATAAATATTGTTTAAAATACGTTATAATTAATTAGTTTTTGTGAGCAATATATCAAAAAGTATTTATTTTTAGCATATTTTCTGAGCACAAGATCTAAAACATAAGGAAAACAGTAACTAATTATAGATATCATTGAAAAATCTATCATTAATGTAAAATTATTTGTATTTTAATCATGTTACAACTAATCCATCGTAAGTTATATAGCGGTAAGTGATTATGATTTTAGTTATCTAGATTTAATCAACAATTAATTACATACAAATGTATGCAAAATGTTTAAAGTCTATTACCACTATATGTCAAATATATTAATTTCAGATTATTTGCAATTATAAGATTAAATGTAAGTTAAACTAACTCACATGGTTAAAATTAAATCAGTAATTAATTATAAAATTTTAGTGTGGCAGAATGCATCAATTTCCATCACTTCCAACTACTTGTTGTATAACCCGCTGTTATATATTAAACAAACAGTTAGAATATTATATTACAGTTTAAATTTACAAATAAATATGATAATAAACATTACTGTAAATCTGATAAATTAATATATGCTAATTAATTTTTATATTATAATAATTAAACATATTTCATATCTTATGAATTAATTAATTAACACTAAATTAAAACCATATAAAAGGGAATATGACTAAAAGGACTAATGCATAATCGTAAATTTTATTTATACAATTAGAGCTAACCCTAATTGTTTAAAATCATACTTGCTAATTTAAAATACAATAAATACAATTATTGTGATAAAAATGTCATTGAATATAACCTCTATTATAGACAACGGGGTAAAAATGATGAGACAATACGCGATTGATAAATAATAGGCACCGTCTGTACGCCCACAACACACTTTAATATACAGGCAATTAATTTTATATCGTTGAAAAAATAAACCGATCGTTATTGTTTGAAGTTTGTTTTGTTAACTAAACGTATAAAAATGCATTATAAAAGGACCTTAATTGAATGTTTCCATGCCTAATTATGCTGCATTTGTGAAGTAATATCTATTTTTCACCATAATTATCATAAATATGATGATAAAAATTATATTTGAATGACAAAACATATTAAATATTTTCATTTGGTGTATTAATATATGTATTAATGTGTGTATTATTTCACTTTCAATGGGATTTGTTGTTTGAAATGGCATTTATTTGTGGGAGTAATTGATTTATAGACATATTTAATAAATTGAATTCACCTTTTTGGTTTTTCCCCACATTAGACAATTACACGGCCTAACTATTATGTGATACATCTTATTATGAATTTAATTAATGTTTTAATAAATAATTAAATGTTTAATGAATTCTATAAAAAGATTTTCATTAAAGACTATTTTTAAGTATTTCTCATATATTGTAAATATTTAAAAAATAAAATTTAAACTTTAATTAGTTAATTATTTTAATTTTATTTAATATATAATTGTATAAATGTATACTGTAGATAATATGCATTATTATAGATTGAATTAGGGTATACAAAAAACAGGGTAAATAAAAAACAGACCATGATAATGTAAAGTTTTACATTACTTTACATTATAAGTTATAATAAAATAAATGTATAAATTATAACCCTTCATTGTACATTAACTTAATCTACATATCGGTAGATTCAACATTGCCAAGATCATCAGGATTAATCATGGTATTATTGCGAAGCCTGTGATCATTAGTGATAATCAACTCAAACTTTTGCTTCAATTCGGTCACAACATTATTATACACATTGCAGGGCATGTCATCCCGATTGTCGTCCAACACCAGTATGTCCTCCATATCTATCATAAGACTGTCGTCATCAACGCTGGATCCGTGTCGGTGACTGTCCGCGCCGTCCGCCTCATCCCTGGCCTCCATGTCTTCCTCTTCGGTCACTTCTTCGAGGGTTTTGTCAGCCATAAGACTACCACTACTTCTGGTGTCGATCACATCGGATGAGCCGATGATAATGTGATGATTGTTGTGATCGTTGATCACTATTTTGTTGATCTCTTTCGTACAGTTCGGGCAAATGCACTGACGAGAGACCACCACTTTTGGCTTTGTGTACTGTAATCAAAGTAATCATGATGATTTTTGTTAATAAAGTTTTTGTTACAATGTAGTAATTTTGTTATAATTTACATTATAATTTTTTTTGTATTTTTAATGTTCTTTAATTGCATTTATTTAATCATAGTAACATTTATTATTAAAACATATTAATAAAACTTACCCTAATTCTGGATGCATAACTCAAGCATTTGTCTAGCTTTATTTCTATGCATTTTAACTATTTTGACACACAATATAAGTAAAATTTAAAATAACTGTAAATTACAAAAATTATTTAAGATCGTGTTTTAAAATTAATTTTTACTATCAACTTATTGCAAACTAAATAAATATTAATGAATTTAACTACGTGGAGTAAAACATTGACCATAATAACATTGAACAGTTTATAATTACCTGTTCGAGCATCTGATCCATCTGTTCAATGGCCTCATTGGCTGAGATTATTGTCAACGAGTTCTTTGCGGTGTAGACATCGCTATCACCAATAGGTTTGAAATGTTTGCGCCGACTTTTACTATCACCACAACACGTGAACAATAGTACCAACAGTTTTAATATTATTAATAATAATGAAAACACACCAAAACCGGCCAATATATACAATAATAGATCCATTGAATTAGAATAATCAACTAGATGTTTTTATTTTTTTAAATTAACTCGTAGACATTTTGTTGGGTACTAAATATATTATGTGATATTTTGTGTTGAATAATAATAATACAGTGTTTTGATTATATTTCACATTTGATTTAACTGTTGGTTATCTAAGAAATGATTTTTAAAATGTAAACATTTTTGTGTGAATTTTGTGTTTATAATTATATCTAATCTTAATTGCTATTAGTTTTTCATTTATGCCGTTTTAGTGGCCTTTTTGTGTGTGAATCCGACATAAGATATTAAATACAAATATATGTATAAAACAAACAAAGTTTTACATAAACATAATTTTAAAAATAATATTTATTCTTATTTTAATTGTGATTTAATTGTTTAAATTAATTAATTTTGTCCAGGCTAATCCTTAGTATGGTGATAAAAATAATTATAAATTTCCCATAGAAATACTAAGATATTTATTGTGAGCCATAAGAATAATGATAAATTCGTTAAAAAATATATCATTCAATTTAATTATCCGGTGGCCGTAATTGATATAATCGTAGCAATTAGTTATGTCGAGCTCGGATAATATTGGTATTATTAGGCGTAAAACCCATTTTTGGTTAAATGTTTTAATCTAGTTAAAAAATATTTAGCATAATTATATCATCTCTCTCTCTCTCTCTCTCTCTCTCTCT